TGGAAATTGTTATTACCTAGCTCTGACGAATGCATTTTTATTCTTACTAATTCACTAAAATTTAGATTACACTATACTTTAATTGATATTTTGAAATAATTCTCTTAATATTGATTGTTTAATTTTTTTAAATAGTAAATGACTAGGTAGTTATTAAACTATTATAAAAACAAACAAATAATAATAGAACCTCATTTTTAATTTCAAAAGGTAAATCATAACTTAAATTTAACATTATTCATATTTGTTTCAATGTCTTATGTGCTATTTATTTTCCTGGTTAATATCTTAGTATTTTAGAAGTTAATTATTTAAGTTATTTCTTATATAAATATTATGGTTTTCTAGAGCAAGGTAAGATGGCTAGTTAATCATATATATATATAAAATATAGTAATATCTGTTAGGTGGTTAAAATATTTTACCTGAGGCACTTTTTGGTTGTTATCAGAATCACTTGATGGCACTTTCACATCAAAAGATGTATTCTTCTTTGTTTTTATTTGAGATTCAATTATCTAATGAAATAGTTTGTTTTTTATCAATTTAACAAAATTAAATAAAAGCAATTTAGGTACCTACCATTTTTTTTTTTTCAGGGGTTGTGAATCTGACTTGGATGTTACAACATTTTTTTCTATGGACACATGCTTAAAATTATCAATAGTATTCTGGGAATCCTACAAAATATACAATTAAATTACAAATAGGAATAAAAAAAAGGAAAATTGAATTAATTTTGCTTATAAAATTAATCATGCATAAAAAATGTTTAGTTTATACCAATAATAAAATAATAATTGTTATAGCAATTTTTAGATACATAATTTAAATGTTAAAAACTGCAACTACCCTAAGAATTGTTTTAGTGAAATATTAAAATTAAAATATAATACCTACCATACAATTTTGCTGAATGCTATTGTTATGCTACAAGTAAATAAATTATAACTAGTTAGATTTTAACATAATAATAATATAAAATACCTGTCATAATGTTTGCATTAAAAACATAAACACTTACTTTGGAGTTTGGTACTCTAATTACAAATCTGTCCATTATAAACAACTTTTATGCATTACGATTCGTAAATATTTCTCAGTAGTCAGTAGCAGCTTCTAGTATTTAATAATAACAAAACTTGGCTCTGCTAATAAATTATAATTAAAATAAAAGTGAAAATAATATTATAACATATCATCCCTGGTTTATCTCTTTTACTAAAGAACACGTCGTAATAAAAATGGAGAATGATTTTAGACGATAATAATTATTATTATTATTGGAAAATTTAAACATTATAAATTATTTTTAAAGACATTGTTATCAATAAATGGTCAAGAAACGAAGTATATAAATTTAGGTATAGTAATTAGTAATATAATGTATATTATAATCATACCCACTCACACACGCACACATATTATTACACAGAATATATTAGTACGAACATACCAAGTTAAAAATAGACATCCGATATTGGGTATTTTTATTTTTGGTTAAGTCATGGTTACTTAAAACATTCTTTTGTTAATCGCCTGATATCTTCTATGTCCTATCTGAGAATTAAAAATTACAAATAATATTATAGCCTATAAAATATTTTGTTTTTGTCACTGAACATTCTACTAGGCATACGGAGCCATATNTTAAATAATATATTTAAATTTTTATTTGAAAGCGATAGTAAAAATATATACATATTCATTATTATAGTTGAATTTTGAAATTATAATTTCATATGGAATTTGAAAATTGTGTGATTATAATATCGAGATAGACTATACAATATAATAGCTCTAACTCACGATAAAACAGAGATTCCATTAATGGTTAAAATATAACAAGTTTAACAGTATTGATAATTAATATTCTATTGTGATGGTTACATATTTCCCGTACACGCGGTGTTATTCATGTGATGATCATTAATGATTTATTAATGATCAGCTTGTTTTTATTTGCTTTTTAAAAGACCAAAATGATATTAAAAAAAAAAATGAATTCTGGCTCTGTAACCGACGACCAAAAACAAACCATTATGAAAAATGCATTAAAATAAAGAAAATGCGTTGTAGTATAAACTATTAGTACTATTCAAATGCTTTAAAAAAAAACTTATGGAAAATTGCAAATAAATGCAAATTATATATGACATGTTTTGTTTTACCACATATTATAAATCAACTTAACCGATTTATATTTGACAATAATTTTTTAGAGTATTCTAAAAAGTATAATTTAAGGGTACTTAAAAATACCAAATCTTGTTCGTATACGGATATAATGTGTACGAAGGATTTTTAACGTTTTCGTATGAGGTACAAAATAGACCTCCATGTGCTAGGAACGCAGGACTCGGACGATATTGCCGCGACTGTTCGTAGCGGTCAGCGGCCGGACAATATTCACGCGACGAGTCGTCGGCGGCAACCGTCGCCGACGCAAAGTACACAGAACCTCATGTTCTCCTGGTACTGTGTGGTCCTTGATAAAATTCTGTCGACCCCAACCGAGAAATCCGCCCTAGAAAAGTTCCGAAACGTTGATCAAATAATTACAATTATTGTTAATATTATTATTGTTTGGATTTTATGACGACGTCATTATAATACGACGGCTTTATCCACATTTTAATTTTGAACCCATGAGGACGATATTTTTAAATACACCTCTAGTTACGCACACGTAACCCCGCGTCGTATCGCCTCGTACCCCCGGAACTTAAGGTAGAAATACTAATTTAATATATTATCACATACCATTACGTTAAACCACAAACAGAATCTCGCGTTTGATCATATGTCACAGCTGTTATACAATAACCAATCGCAATAATATGATAATAATTATACAAATTCTAAATCCTATACGAAATTCAGAATTCAGAATTCAATAATAAACAGGTATTAAATTTTCACTGTCGCTTTCGGATAAAAATTTAAATACGTTGTTTAACGATTCGACGTGGGTAGTAGGTACCTAATTATATATGTACTAGACATGATAATATATTTAGAAATTTAAATGTAAACAATTCGATATTTTTAAAAATTATAATAATATATATTATTAGTGTTCACGTAGTAGGTTCAAAATATACGGTGTTTTTCGTTTAAAATATGTACAATGACGATGATATGTACCGATGTAGACCATGCCGCACGTTTTTTTTTTTTAAATGTTGTTCATTCAAATCCGAAATTCAAATACGGATGAACGTCATCATAATATATCATAATATATCATAATATATCATAATATATCATAATATATCATAATATATCATAATATACGTACGAATACGTAAACTCAGTACGAATAACATCCGTATACGCACATGTACAAATTCGCGTTTACGCAACACACCGAATCGTGTTCCTGTATCGTCGAAACGCTAACTATTTTTACGGACGAAAACGCGTTCTTTGTGCGCACTCCAGTCGTACGACCGACCGGTATTCGTACGATACAAATCCAACGCCGCGCGCGGCCTACGAACACAATGTGCACGGACGACATTCGTACGAGGTACAAGAGAGTCGTCGACGTACCAGGAGCACAGGGGACTCGGACGTTGTTGCAGCGACTATTCGTAGTGGCCGCGGTTAATCGTAACGATCCGCGCCCGAACGATATTGCCGCGACGAGTGGCATGTGTCCGCGGCAGAACATTATCCCCGCGACGAGTAGTCGAATTGATACGAATATATTGTATAAGACGCACGTTCAACGCGGTTCAACACGTACAACGCGGTTCAACACGTTCAACGTACGCGGTTCATTCGTACGCGGTTCGAGGGAGACGTCGACGTACCAGGAGCGCAGCACCCGGACGTTGTTGCCGCGTCGGGCCGTCGACGGTAGCCGTCGCTGCCGCAGCGCACACCGTACTTCATGTGCTCCTGGTCCTATTTAAAATTCCCGTGTCGACGTCGAGTCGTTCTAGAGAAAAAAATGTTTCAAAACGTTATTATTATTATTATTTATTATTCGTACGTATGACGTCATTATATTATTATGATGACGGTAATCCGTATTTTAATTTC